CCACTTGCCCCCCCCCCCAACACACGCTCCCTACCCTAACCCCTGCTCTAGCTCCAGCTCCAGCACAGGGCATGGAGCATTCAGTGTCTCCAGCCCAGGCCAGGTTACAGCAGCAGCTCTGGCCCACAGCCCATGTTGGCGCCAGACCAGGAGCTGCTCTGCTGATGCTGCATGATCTTCCCTAGGGTACCCATGTCCAGTCTCTCCTGCACTTCCCGCCCCACACCATGCATTCCCTCACTGCATACTGTGTGCTATCCCCCACCATCTACTCTTTCCCCGCTGCACAAGCCACCTCAAGTTGCCCTGGCTAGGCAGCAGTGATAGCAACAGCTCCTGCCCCAGCATTGGCCTAAGGCTGCCAGTGGTGGCCTTTCTGGCCCATGGTCTGCATTGTAACTAGGCAAAAAAAATCATCATGGATTCAAGTAAATATGGGTCTTTTGGTTGGGGGGGGGGTTTTGGTTGTTTTGTTTTTGTTTGTTTGCTTTTACACAAACAATGAAAGCCCATATGAATTAACAAAATTTCTTATTTAAAATGCAGGCAATGAGTCAAATTAACTCACTGGCCTGGCCCCTCAGATATCAAATACAACTTTCCAAGTGACCTTCATGAGCTTACAAATATGATTCATATAGTTCAAGCATTTTCAATTCAGTATCTAAGAAGAAAACAGCTATGTACTTTGGGTCACCATTCAAGAATAAGAATCTGTACTAAACAGGACATCTGTTTTGATACAACAGGTAAACCTGTAAATAAATCCTATTTATAATTTAAATAATCTCACTCTTTTCCCAAAGAATTTTTTCCAAATTCTTAAGTTCCTACAGTGTGCTGTTAAAGCTTGATTTCAAAGTTTTTTAAACAGCATCAGCTGCAACAGCTCTGGAGCCCTTAGCTGCCCTTTCAGTGAACAGAAATTAGATCCAAGTTACTGAATAACTGCCAAGATGTTTTTCATTTCACATTGTAGGATAGCTATATTGGTTCTTCCAGACAGACTAAGATAAAAACTATTTTCACATAAATTTGGCATTGGTGGCCTTTTACGATCAGATCACCAGATCATTAGATGCAGGGGTAGCAGTGGACATAGTCTTCCTGGACTTCCAGAAGGCTTTTGACACTGTCTCTCACCCCGTTCTCATTAAGAAACTGGGGGGCTGTGGTGTAGACACCCACACAGTCAAATGGGTCGCCAACTGGCTGGAGGGCCGCACCCAGAGGGTGGTAGTGGATGGGTCCTTCTCAACCTGGAAGGACGTGGGCAGTGGGGTTCCGCAGGGCTCGGTCCTCGGGCCCGCACTGTTCAACATCTTCATCAGTGATTTGGACGAGGGGGTAAAAAGCACCCTGTTCAAATTTGCTGATGACACTAAGATGTGGGGGGACGTGGGCACACTAGAAGGAAGCAACAGGCTACAATCAGACCTAGACAGGTTACAAGGGTGGGCGGATGAGAATAGGATGGGTTTCAACACAGACAAGTGCAAGGTGATGCACCTGGGGAGGAACAACCGGCACCATACCTACAGGTTGGGGAACTCCCCTCTTGTCAGCACGGAGGCGGAAAAGGATCTTGGAGTCATCATTGACTCCAAGATGAACATGGGTCGGCAGTGTGGGGAGGCAGTTAGGAAGGCCAACCGCACCTTGTCATGCATCCACAGATGCATCTCGAGCAGGTCCAAAGAGGTGATCCTCCCCCTCTATGCGGCACTGGTCAGGTCGCAGTTGGAGTACTGCGTCCAGTTCTGGGCGCCGCACTTCAAGAGGGATGTGGACAGCATGGAGAGGGTCCAGAGGAGGGCCACTCGCATGATCAGGGGACAGCAGGGCAGGCCCTATGAGGAGAGGCTACGGGACCTGAACCTGTTCAGCCTCCAAAAGAGAAGGCTGAGGGGGGATCTTGTGGCCTGTTATAAACTAGTCAGGGGGGATCAGCAGGCACTGGGGGAGTCACTGTTCCCCCAAGCACTGCCAGGAGTGACCAGGAATAATGGTCACAAGCTGGCAGAGGGTAGGTTTAGATTAGATATCAGGAGGCGCTACTTCATGGTCAGGGCGGCTAGGGTCTGGAACCAACTTCCAAGAGAAGTGGTGCAGGCTCCTACCCTGGGGGTTTTTAAGAGGAGGTTAGATGAACACCTTGCTGGGGTCGTTTGACCCCAGTACTCTTTCCTGCCGTGGCAGGGGGTCGGACTACATGATTTGCTCAGGTCCCTTCCAACCCTAGAAACTATGAAGTGTAGCTAGATTCTTTTCCAGGTCCACATCTTCTATAAAATGAGAATAAAAGCACATAGAAAGTACAAATATTTAATCATGAAACTAATGTATTTTGATTTTAAATTCTGCATGTTTATGGGTCCTCAACTGACCCTTCTTTTTCAGCAACTTAAAACTCTTCTTAACACTGAGGAAAATTCAGGGCCAAGTGTAGCAGCACCACCTTATTACTGCTGCTGTTTCTTAAAAGAGGAGCTGTTGAATCAGAAAGGAAAGATAAAAACTTATGCTTGCCTTCCCCATTAAGAATCAAACACACCAGGAGAGACACACCCCAACCATCCTTGAAAATCACCAGGGAAAAGCAGGAGGGAACAAACAGCCTGTGCGCTGATCCCTTCTCTCCCATGTCCCCGAAAAATCTGAGTGCGAGAGATGTGTACAGATTTCCAAAATACATATGCATTACTTCAACCAAGTAATTTGGAGTTAAGTGAGAGAAGCTATTTTCTCTCCTAGCATTTCTGCAGAAGAGACGGAAGAGTCACCCTTCCAAAAATGGCAGAGGTAGCTGAGGGACATGAAGACAGAAGCCAAATATCAGAGGACTGTGGCAAAAAAGTTCAAGGTATTGCTTGCTGTTAAATTAGTCCTCTGGACAATATGCTCAATTCTCTCCGCCATTACCTGGCAGTCCCAGTAGCTCAGGGTTAGTTTCACTATCACCAGATCATAGAACTTGCAGCAAATCTCCCCCTCCCCAAACCTACTTTGCCTAATTATGATGAGATGAGACGAGGTGCTCCTCTCAGGAGACAACTGCAGATGTAGGAATGGGTTGTCACCTATTTTAAACACTACCAGCTGAGCAGCATCAGTGCTTTTTTCTATCTCAGTCTGAACCCAATGCAGAATGTTTTCTTCTTGCTGCCCAAAAGAATTCTGGGGAGAATGAGAATTAGGTAATTGTCCTATTGACTTTTTTGGGTTGCTCCCCTTTGAGGCAAAAGCAGCTGCCTCATTTTCAAACAGCCCTAGTTGTTGTGGCTCACCCTATACACTGTTCATTAACTTTCTTGAGTAGCACATGGGGCTTTGACTTCTGACAGGAAGAAATATGGGAGTCACATATAGGCAACATATTTAGGTGTTTAAACATTGGCTTAGAAGCTTCTGCAACAGCATTTTTAAAAGTTCTACTCCATATATATCATGGAATCCAAGATTATTCTTGAATTTTAAGAAAGCATATTACAGGAAACAAACTGTCATGGGGAGGGGTTTGAGAAAGAGAGTTGCTAGGTTGTATGGATAGTGTAGTTGAAAATTCCTGACTGGCTGCTTACAGACATTAAAGCAAAAAGACCCAACCCCTGCACTTTACCAGAAGCAGCAGCACGTTAGTTCAACCTGGTTCCACAGCATTTGTATATAACAGATGCTTTTTTTTTTTTTTTTTTTGGGGGGGGGGGGGGGGGGGCCTTTAAAAAAAAAAAAAAAAAGGGGGGGGGTTTTT